TCAACGAAGCATTTGACTTGCTAATAGCAAGAAATGGTTCAGAAGAGGAGGAATTTTGAAGATTAAGAATATAATAATCGGTCATCAGACTGACCGATTGATAGTAATCGTCCACTTCCATTCTCAAACAACTACAGAAGAAGTTACCCGAGAATTTTCAATGTCAGAGATCTTCCGATAGATCGATAATCGAGAAATCGCAGTGCCTGAAAGTCTCTTTCTTGCATGCATACAAAATAGCGAGCATTTTTCGATTGAATTGTTTCGTTCGGGAGAAATGACTCAATGATTGAGCGGTGGAAAAGCGCTGAAGCATTGTTAAAAGTTCATTTTGCTTGAAAAGAGACGTCGTCAGCAATCGGTCATTTGCTGCCAATATGAATTTCTGAATGCGACCGAATATATTTGCGAAGAATTCTTAGCAAATCACGAAATGCAAGCAGAATGCAAACTTGCAGGTCAGAATGAGTCCAATTGTTGTCAACAGCAATGTCCAACCAAAGTTCGGGTGGATATTTCAGAGGTTGAACGAGCTGGGCTGCAGAGTTTTGTCTCATCTGTCACATTCATCTGTCCAATTCCTCAGTCACGCGACAAATCGCTTCAACAATCGCCTAACTGTAGAAAGAATTTGCCGTATCCCAATGAGCGGTTTCTTTGTTACAAAAAAACCGCAAATTTATTTCGTATTAGTTTTTTTTTTTTGATCAATAAAGGTTGTTTTAAGTTCGTCTATAATGCTTTAAATTCACAATTTAAAGTGTAATTACTTTTGCATCAAAGCTATTTGAGCGCTGTTATTTCATATATAAAAGAGTAATTACGGAAATGATTGATGTAAGTTTTTGTTCTTTATAAAATTGGGAAAAAATGAAAGCGAGATTTTGCCTGACTTTCAGGATCTCATGGAATCATTAACATTACTTTGTTTGCCAACGCCGGAAGCAAATGCAATCTGGACGATACGGATGATCAAGGGTTCCGATGTTGAAGCTATCACAGAGGCTGTATGAGCTTTTCAACCATTTTTAGAATTTCTGATCAAAGATGGCACTTTTGATAAGGCTCGTAATTTGAGGTCAGAAATCATTATAGGTTCTAGCTTTTGATACTTCCAGGTAGCTCATCTTAACTTTATTCCTCTTAATTAATCATATTATGCTATTAAGGTGCAGTTGTACTCATATCAAACAAGAATTTCAACACTTTCGTTTCACTAATTTTGATCATTCAGGATCTGGTAGCTTTTGTAAAATCGGTTTTCCGATTAGCAATGCTTGAAAAGGCAAAGGGTAAGAAAACATCTGATTACACCTTTCACATGATCGATAGAGCTTTGCAAAATGTTGCTATCCATCGTTCGCACGGAACATTTAAGGTATACTGCCGTCCTCTTGAATTGTCATCATTCCAAAAAATAATTAAAGAATTGGAATAAAAAAAAATGCCATTATGATATAATTTCCTGATCAATTCCAGGCACTGGACAGGGATGGAAATGGTTATATCCGCAAATCTGATTTTGTCAATTTTTTTCAGGTCCATTTTTCACATATTATTCTCACACAATTTTAAGATTAGCATCTTTTATTTATCCGTTCCAAACTTTTTACTTGAAAAATTGGCTAGAAACAATGGTGAGAAAGAAGAAAGTTTGATGATTAGTTATTTTAATCCGGATTTCATATATACAAGGAAAAAGATTGACAAAAAATTAAATTTTTAGATGAAATTCATTTTTTTTTTGGCTTTTTTAGCGAAATGAGTATTTGGATCCAATTTTTATGAAATCATTTATGTGCCTAAAAACACGGTAATTGCGCAGTTCGAAAGCAAAAAGGATTTATTGTTGTGACCTGTCAGCATTGTTATTGCTATCAATAGCGGTTTTGCGTGAAACACGTGAAAAACGATGTTATATGCCTTATATTTTCGTACAAATGCGCATTTTTTATTGTTGTTAATAAAGAAGAAAAATAATAATAGTAAAAGTTTGATAAATTTTCTAATTTCTAATATTTCCATTTGTATTGGATAATGAAATGACATAGCCAAATTTAGCAAATTCTCAGATTTTTCATAAATTCAATAAATCACATATGGAATATGCGCTGAGAATATTTCCGGGGCTGATCAACAAATATTATCATAAGAATTAATATATTGGTAAAATTATGGACATAATCGATCAAATCTGTCTCACTGGAGAATGTTTTACTTGATTGCTATTTGTAAATGATTTCGTTTACAATATCAGTGAGAGGAGAGAATATTTTGATTTCTACGAGCAATAAAAAACAATTTTAATTTTTTAAAATTAAATGGAAGATTTTGAATACAAACTGAACTTGAGATTTTGAGGTAATTCATTGAAAAAATATATATCGATTGAAAATATAAGAAATTGACAGAAAAAATGTGGAGTGTGCAATGAAAGAAACATCAAAAAATTTTCTTGAAGTGCAATTCGAGTGAAGGCTGAGTGGTTGTCTTTTGAACCGGAATTTAAGCAATTAAGCAAAAAGATCTCGGAAATAATTAGAAACAGGTGACGGCCATTTCATTGATGTATTGATATATAGGTGACTATTCCAATTTTTAAATTTCATTCATAAAATGATTCTCCTTCTTTTTCATTTCTTTATTTGAGGAAGAAGGAAAAGAAAGAGGAGAGAGAAGAGAGGAAGGGAAGAAGATCTGGATGAGACTAGAATAATTGATGTTAAATATACATTATCTCAGCGCAAAGTGACATGAGAGATGACTTATACGTTATATTTCATTTCTTCTAAACGAGCCTCTCTACAAATAAACATATACACAAAAGATTTCATTATTTAAGTAATATTTTTGCTCTGATTAATTAAAATAGCATATATATGAAATGGAATATAAAACTTTTTTTGCCCATTATGCTGTTCCTTATCCATCATATGTTTTGGAAAAATATGAATAGATAAATCGAACTTTCAGACCAAACTATTTTAAAATATGAAATTCTGTAAAGTGGACTTTTACAATAAAAATTAAAAACAGAATATAAGTTATACATTTCATTGGTTAGTTAGCTAATTATAAAAAAATCAAAAAGGATATCAGAAAAGAAAAAATCATTATACAAAATCATCTGGCATATTACCGTAAATCAATCGTACATCACAATTGATTATTTTGCATTTACACAGTATTATAACGATTAGTGGTACGAAATATAGTACAATACTCCATCGATAGAGTAGGTATGACCACAAATTATACAATGATATTTGCTGACTATTTTCCACTACTGAAATATGCTATCGATTAATTCAATTACTAATTTATCATATAACTATTTTCCATTTATATCATCATTTTCATCAGTAACTTTACTACATTTACATCAGTTCAATTCTTCTCTATTCCTATTCCAAAAATATCTGTTTCAAATTTAAGATTTTCTAAAACTTTTTCCTGATATATTAGTATGGCTTAGTGAAAATTGTTGTAAAAAAATGCATTCTATTCCATGTAAATTATGAGTAATTCATAAATTTGCACTGAAAAAACTAATTCAATTAAAAGAAAAAAGCTAATAACCGGAAATGGAGTGACTTGGGATTAGATTGTTGCTTTCCGGAGAGGAAAACAGAATTGAAGTAGTGCTGTAGTCGCATTTAGTATCATCGTTACAAAATGGTTGTGGATGATTTACGCCAGCAATGTATAACACATTACCGGTCACTATGAGTAACAGTAACGATAATGTGAACCATCGAAACATCGCATCTGAAATGAAAACATTCATTTAAATGTTCGATCAACAGAATGCAAAAGACGCAGGTTAAGGTAAAACATAAAATTGAAAATGTAATATGAATAAATAAATTCAATTAGTAATTACATTATACATTCAAAATGAGCACATAAAATTGGGAAAAATATTTATTTTCATCATTGAATGGCAGATTAAAATGAACCATCAATAAAAGAAATAAAAAAATCGTTTTTGAAACGATTTGAATTTTACCGTAACATTTATTTTTTTCTTAAAATTTTGGATCATTTTTTTGAAACAATTGGTCTTAATTATCGATTGCATTAAGAAATAAATGACTGAAAAAGAATTGAGGATTTTCGGAAGATCTAAAATGCCCGAGTGATTCTATCACTGATCAATTAGTGCGATTTACAGATGTGTAAACATATTGTTAATCGATTTTTCTGCAATCAAATTTATCGAAAAAAAAAATATTTACGAAATTTTAAAAGGAAAAGGAATGACTTTACAGCAATGAGTGGAAAAATACTAACAGATATATCAGGCAGTACATCAAAAAGAGAAAAAAATAAATGAGATTAACTATAGAGAGAGGAAAGGAGAGAGAAAGAGATGGAAAGGAATTCTATCAAGTTCGGAAACAGTACCTGATACCTTATCTTAATGGCGAGAACGGAAAATCAGCACGATGATATCCTTCTATCTTCACCTCACCATACAAATTATCTCGAAATTATCCATCAGAAAATCTATGAAATTTTAAAATCAAACTTATTATAGGCATTGAAAGCATATAGCAAACGACAGTCAATTGATAGCTAATTAGAGAAGATAGCTTCCTTCCCCTTTAAAAGATCATTGAAATTCCTTAAGAATCGAATCGAACTTACGCTATAAAATAGATTGAAAATAACAAAAATTAATTTATAAATCATCTAAAAATTTTTCAGTTAATTTAAAAACTTGTCTTTCAACTATGACAGAGACGTTCGGAAAGAGATAGGAAATTAGTAAATAAATGAAAAAAAATTAGGTTATTTTGCAGAATATCGAATAAAAGACTCTGTTTGCATTTACAAATTTTCTCCTTTCTAAAATCGAAAATCGAAAAAGATATAGAATACAAAAAAAGTTCTTCGATTATTTTCTGAAGAAAAATATTATCGGGAAGTGAAGTTAACCGTTCCGGTGAGCAAGTTCGGCGTTGAGAGGACGTTATCTATGAGAATCCAAATGACCTAAATATGAAATATTGTACCATGCGGTGTGGAATGAATGTTTCTTTGGAAATATGGCCGAGAGTGTTTTTATATAAGATGGACAGCGTTTGAAATAGAATGACTTAAAAAATGTGAGCATATTAAACAGATTGAGATTTTCCAAAAATATTATTTATTCAAATTAGGAAAAAAATTGACTTATCGTTGAAAGCGTAAACAAAATATAATATTGTGCTGAATAATATTGTTCCATTCCTTACTTATTTTGATGATGTGAAGCATTTTGAAACTTTTTTTGCTTTTTTAATAAGCTGCTGAATTTTCTTGATTATTACAATCCATTCATGCTATGCTTAATGCATTAGACAACAAAACTGTCAAACAATTTTGATGTGAAAATGTTTCACAATGAATTTGAAAGTAAAGGAAGTGGAATGGTAGCAAATGGTAAAACTGTTTAAATATAGAACGAGGCATTGTATAATGTTAAATCAGTTAGTATGAATTATGAAGAATTTATGAGAACAATCGAAATTTATTGCATGCAGTTGGTAATATGCACCATGGAAGAAGTTAGGTAAAAGGTCAGATGTGGCAGAACTTTATGGAATTAGGAATCATGCTATTTCATTTAAACAAATATTTGCAAATTATAGGAGAAGAAATCGTGGTAATTTTTATCGATTTTATATTTAAAGCCTTTATTGCTATTTGAAAAGATCAACGCAGAATGCGTGAATTTTGTTATTTCGTTATCAGCCAATACAACTTATCAGTATATGAAGATATAATAATACATTTATAGTACTTTCTTTATTTAAATTATTTCATCAGGAAAGCAAACAGGAAAAAACGAAGATAAAAGCTATAAGCAATGAACATGACAAGACGACAACTGACATTAAGATGGTAACAATGACTGATGAGTATTGATTATAGAGTGTATCATAGACAAGAAAGATAAGGCAATATGCTAAAGGATGGTTGATAAGATAATGCTTATTGTTGCTTTGATTAAGCGAGAAAGAAAATAAAAACAAATGGAATCGAAAGAATTCTAAAATGATTCGATTGCATAAATTTAAAAAGAAAGAAAAAAAATTATTTGAATAGTGTGTCTTTTAGCTGTGGTAATAATAATTTTCACGAAATGATATAGTTTGAAACAGTTCATAATCACTAAAGAAGCATACAATGTTTAAGCATAGGCTAAGCATAGGCATTATTGATTGATTTTTAATATTTTCTCAGAAAACAGTAAAGGAAATTTTTCTTCTCTTTTAACATAAAATATTTGAACTAATTAATTGTAGTTTTGAAATGGGTATATTAATAATGTTGAAATTACAGCATTATTTTGTCCAAAAATCATTTATTATATCATTATTATCTAATAAAGTAAATATGAATTTGAGGAAAATGCGGCATAATTTGCAATGGATATCTAATCTTTCAAATTATTCTACAAATTTGTTTTGAAATATTCAAATTATTTTATATTAAATAGAATGTAAAATATTTCGTTTCGCCAAATTTTGATAAGTTTAAATGAATTAAAAAAATTATTAATTAATTAAATTTGTGATTGTTGGAAATAATTTTCGTCAGAAACTTTGGACAATAACAACTAATGGTGTATTTCATTAGGATATTATATGAAAGAAAAACTGCCCTAAATCATTTTCATTGAAATTTACGACCGCCTCTCTCACTCCTATTTGTTCGAATTTTCAAGAAAATTGAAGAAAAAAAGTTTACGAAATAATTTTCAATTGACCAGAACTATGACATTGCACAAAACAAGAAAAGAACAAAAAGACTGGTCAATAATAGTGAAGGAATAGTTATTCTCTCTTTCACTGTTTATGAAAGTGGTATGATCGGAAAGGTCAATTGGATGATGTTTGTGTCGAATAATTAGAAATTAATTCATTCAATAAAAATAATGGAAAAAGGAATGTATCACTGCAGGAAAAATGAATGATAGAAATTAGCTTCTCCATGGAAATTAACTTAATTTGAAATTGAACTTTGTGAAAATAAAAAGAAAACCGGATTGAAAAAAAAAAACGTAGAACGTTGTAACATCAAAAAAAGTGAATCAGGCAAATTGCACTGAAAACGGCAACTGATCGCAGTGATTGGAATAAGGAATCATCAAAATGATAGAAAAAAGCAGAAAAATAAATTTAAATTGTTATAAAAAGAGTAAAGTACAAGCAGACGAATTCGAACTTTTAAAGGTTATTTTGGATGATTCGTTTCTGTTATTCCACTTATTATTCATTACAATCATTTCTTTGTTCCGTGCTTAAGTACAACGGAATTTTTTAACTAAGTCTATTTTAATATTTAAAATCACTTGAACGATTTATTATTGATCAGTTTATTTTTGCTGAATTATTTTTTTATTCGTGGCTTCCAATTTCTGATCCATTCATTGATTATATGTTATAAAGGATTTAAGTAAGCATTCTGATAAAATTTTAAAAATGATCAAATGTATTTTTAGAATAAGCTTGCTCAAAGTGAAGAAAACTTGAAGGAGATTTTTGAAAAAATGTTTACACAAATAACATCGACAAAAATCGACATATAATAAAATTGGTGATAAAAATGATGATGTTTGTTGGGTAATTGGTAATAATATTTTCAACTGTAAGTGATTTGCGAATAATGGACAGCTATTAATAAATGCTATGATTACATTAACAGAAAAATGATTAATGAATTATCCATTAAATAATTATAGAATATATACTTGAAAATGTTAGTTTCTATATATTAAAGTATTAATTAAATAAATCAATATATCAATAATATTTCCTGTTTCGGTACAAATAAAATTTATGATTACCCATAAATTGATTAAATTTTGATCAAAATAAAAAAGAAAAACTGATGGAATTTAGGCAAAAAATGAACTATGAGTGTAATATATGAAAGAAAAATATCAATCGAATGTTAATTAATAATTGGAACTATCAGAGGATGACATTTTAAGTGACACAAATGACACCGCTGTTCGTTTATTTTTCCAACTATCAAATTTTTTATGCTAACATAAGGATAACATCGAGAAGTGCAGAGAACAGAGATTTGCATAAGATTGATAAAATTCAAATTAAAAGAGAAATAAAATGAGGAATTGATTGAGTTAGTTCACTTTGTAAGTAAGGTCACATAAATAGAAAAGAGTGAACTGAAATTTGACTAAGCAGTGGGAAAGAGAATAAGAAAGAACGAGAGATATGATGCATAATAATGGTATTGTGAGAAGAGGAGAGCGAGTGAAAGGGAAAGGAGAGCATCCAAAATTCTTCTGTGGATAAATAGGAGAGAAATGTGGTTGGGATGAATGGAGATGATGATGATGATAGCGAATGATGGTTATTGGTTTGTTTGTTGTTTATCGAGCTGTAATGCAAAAATATTAGACAGAAGCGTGGAGAGAGAGAGAGGCGGAAGAGGTGGAAAGGACAGAAATCAATTGTGACAACTAATCGTCCATATCAGAGCAATTAGGTCATCGATTCATCAATGAAATGTCTCTCACTTCTTTTTTATCATCATTAAATATTGAAGAATTAGCATGTGATAAGGAAAAATAATAAGTAATTCCTTTCCAAGTGAGAAACGGAAAATTGATTTGATTCCTTTCTTTTGCTTACTTTTGACTAATTCAAGTTAATACTTAAATTTAAATTTTAAAACAAAACAAAGTAAAACTTGAATTTAAACTTGAATTTGAAAACAAAAACGAAAAGAGTGAAAGGGAGGAAGAATGAGGGAGGATTCTGAAATCACATTTCTATATTTCTTTTAATATATTTGGGATGCTAGCTGAGAAAATCTGAAAATTTACTGGTTAATGATAATGGGCGATTAATTAATTTCAAAGCATTTTAAATGTTTGAAAAAAATTGAAATAATGACATGTCCCCGAATCATCTAACAATTAATTCTGACTTTATTTAAATGGTGATATCGAAGTTAAAAAATTCACTCTGCTGAAATGCACAATTTCATTCCGTCCTTCTCACCACTGCCATCAGTAGCGGAAAGGAGGAAGTTCAAGGAGCTGCGGGGTCGATGGGTTATTTTGTGATTCGGGTTCCGGGTTCATGGTGGGTTTGACTAAATAGGTCAGTCAAGTTTGGAAGAGATAAAAAATACTTCAAAAGTAGTAGTCAATCATTAAGTCAAGGAAGTACAGAGGCAAATAACTGTGTATTAATTGAGGATAGCTGAAAGAGATTAAATAATGAATATATGATAGTTGAAGAAGACAGGAATTCACTGTGGCAGAATAAAGTATGAATAAGAGATGAAGCTTATTAATTGTTTCATTGGACTGATTGGAATACTTTCCTTTTTACATTTCGGGATTTTCCCTATAGGGTTTATAGCAGGATTGGGTGACTGTAGCACTTAGTGTTTTATATGGCAAATTTTCTCTTCCAGCGATCAAGATTTTACGAATATTTGGGGGAGGAGGAAGTAGGTGGTATACTTTTAACATTAGTGTTTGAATCTTCCGATGATTTTTGCGGTCTTTTCAAAGCAGTTATTTGGATCGAGTTTTAGGATTGGAAAAATGTAATTGAGTCGATTTCAGATTCTTCAACCTCTTACATGTATTCGTTAATGCAGTCACTTTGTTGTTGTACTGGAGAAGGCAGTGATGATGAAGGACCGCTGATAAGTGATACCGATGGTGGCCATTTCAGAATAGCTGCGTTAGTTTGCTTTTGATTCTTATATTGTTTAGTCTCATACATTCAGTTGATGACAAAAATTGTAAAGATTTAAAATATTAGGATTAGAAACGCATGAAAATGTGCCTTTCTTTGTTTGTTCTTTCATTGATATTTCAAAGTATTTCTTGCAACTCTGATAAACTAGTTGATCAGTTACTGTGGGATATTTTGTTTGGTAGGGAATCATATGAATGTAACGATTTTTCCACAGAATGGGAACCATTCTGTTATATCCGTTGATTTGGTTTCTAATAATGCAGTGGTTTAAGAAACATGAAGCAGAATCACAATCAAAGCTTGGTAGAGATTAAGATAGGGGAAGTTAATATCTTAGTTTTATAACGATCAAATTTCTGAGATAGGAAAATAGAAAAGAGATATGGTGATTCAAGTTTTCTACTTCTCTTACACAACTAAAACATGCCTTTTTCCATAAAAGCTTTTAGAGACTTGACGATCACCTCTGTAGAAAATTACTATTTTATTTTATATTGTCATTTGATGAATTGTCGTCTTAATATTCATTTTTAGAATTATCATTCACATGTATCTATAGATTACTTATATTCTCAGACCTTGTGATTCAACTAATCGTTTCTGGGTGAACGATGCGGAAGAGCACATGACCACTTCCAATGGTCCTGGCAGTTTTCGGCAAGGCAACGATGAAGATGAATTATTAAATCAAATTCTAGAAACTGCGCAGCAAGTAACATTTTTAACTGCCAAAGCACTTAATTTTTTTATTCAATTTTTGGAACTTTTTTTGGAAGAGAACTTCATCTCCTAAATTGTTTCAAAAAGGATTTTAGTCTAGGAAGGATTAGGAAAATACCAAAAGTAGTGTCGAACTACATACTGAATGCAATCAATCATCAATCTCTTTGAAGCAACCACAATATCAGCTATATATTTGTTTTATCATTATTTAGCTCTGTTAAAAGGTTGTGGATTATATTATCACATGTTTTAATTTCCATTGATTTGCTAAAATAGTGTAAATATAAGCCAGCGTCACTAAATTGGTTGGACATCGGCAATAAGATAAGCATTGTGAGTTATTACAGTTTTGTGACGACTATTTAATATAGGTGTGAGTATTGAAAAAAATTTCATAAAAGCGTTTTTTTTTTTGTGAATTTCGTTGGAGCTGAGATTGCATTTAATATTTTTTTTGAGCAGTATCGACTTTCAATTAAAGAACGATTAATATCGCTGTGCATAAATAGTCAATAATAGAACGTAAGAAAAGATGTTTCTCTTTTTTTTCAGAATATAATAGATGTTGCTAATATGGACGGTACCACAACGCCCTATAAAGAAGATTTATCGAAAGCCCAAAGATATAGTGATGCAATCAGGCAACATGATTTACGAGTTCGAAAGCGTGCCCTTAATACGACTGCAGAAAATGGTAATATAAATTTGTTAATTAATAAAGAGGAAAATTTGGAACAGAAATAAGTTGGAATAGGAAAAAATCCTCAAATGGTTCTATTATTTGGCACGTGAGATCATTCTTAATTTTGTTTGAAAACATAAAGTTTTTCTTGTTATTTTTTTGTTAGTCTGTTCTGCGCTTTTTGGTTCCTTACACAGTTTTTTTTTCCTTTTTCTCAGAAAAAGGAATCACCTTTATTCTTTCTTCGTGTGCTTCACACAGAACTTTTGTTTATGAGGAAGAAAATATAATTATCTGAGTATCAATTACTGCACAAGGCTTATCTATTGATTTATCATTACAGATTTGTGTCTCTTATATGATGTTGGACAACGAGTGATCGAAGTACTGCAACAACCAACGCCAACTTTCATTATGCATTCTGATTTGCGAGATTTTGCTGGAAGTATGTCCTCTGCAATGGTAAATGGTATACAAATTGAACATAAACAGGATATCCTCATTCACATGACTTTTTCAGATGAATAATCTTGATATGAATAATTAATGAAGAAATCTATCTTCAGATTTTATTTCATTTTCAAATTTTTGGAACATTTAATTTATTTATTTTCTTTCTGTTGAAAAATGTACTAGCAAATGGATTCTAAGGGAAAGAATTCTTTGTGAATATTTTTTTGTTCCTTTATTGCTTACTTTAATTTGAGTTTTGAATATTTTTTTTGCATGTGTAATATGAACTCACTGGAGCCAATTTTTCTCTTCTTGGGTCTTGCAGTAATATTGTTTTTCAATGTATCATATTGATTCATACACTGATGGTGTGTCTAGGTTCTGAATCTTTTGTTTATGTTTGTTTGCACTTTTTCCATTTTTCCATCAATTCCCTCTTTAGTGACTTTATAATTGCCTTTAAAAAGTTGATATCCATCGTATTGGTCTAATTAATTTCTAAAACGTCATTTTTAGAACGTTACTGATGAGAAATATGAATAATAGGAGCCATATTAAATTGTTATCAAAGAGATTAGCGCATTTGTTGCTTTATTTCTTATGATCTATTTCTACAGCTTTGTTGTTTGCAAAAGAAACCTGAATTGTCTGAAATTTATATTTAGCCCTATGGTCTTAGGTTCATCAAACTTCCGATATCAACAATAGATAAAAATACTTACTTTGTTTATTAGATGCCTCGCATTAATTAATTAATTAGTTCCATTGGTAAGTGCAATGCGTAATATTTTTTTCATCCTCAGTTTCTTCTGGGAATTAATCCTAATGTATGTTTATATTTTTGCGTGGGTAGTGAAACTTCAAGGAAGGCTTTATATGATAACTACTTTGGACGTTTGATTTTTTTTTTTAACGAAGTTATGCCTTATTAATTTTTCGATACTGTGAAAGTTACACATGTGTATTTCTAATGGGTTTTGCAAACAAGTTGAAATAATTTGTGACAACTCTTTCATTTTTGTTCTCTGCTATTTGCTTATCTATTATTTTTGCTCAGTCTCATCTACATATGCAATACTTTCTGTTTTTGTTCATTTTCAATAACTCACAACGTTTCACATATTCGTATGTTTTTAATTACCTAAAATATTTCAGCATAATCCCATTTTGAAATTGTATGCAATTTATTTTAAATGCTTAAACTTTAATTTATCATTAGTCGGCTGAAATGCTTGCAAGAATGATTTTGTCCTTCGAACACTCCATCCTACGATACATTTCTGCTGTAGGTTGACGATTTACTACTTAAATCGTCAACACTGAGTAGATCCGTTAATTGATTGACAAATCTGTGGAGTTAATTAGTGGACATTGAAATACTAAAGAGTTGGAAGTGTAAAATCTGTTAAATCTAACATATAGATTTAAATCAGAATGGATCTGACTATTCAATTTAGTGGAACAATAATCTAAGCTATATACTGATTACTTTTTGAGAGTTGAATGGGCGAATTGAAAGCTAAGTTAAATGGAAGTGGGCATATTCAGATAAACATGCCACTTCCATTTAACCTTGTAAACGATAGATGTAATTGGCTGTAGATTACGTTACGGTATAACAAAATAACAGATATGATTAAATTGAATTTAGCATCCGTGTATTTCAAAGTATTCTAAACATTTTTTGCCTAATACGCAGGGAATTAGTTGTAGGTACTTTCCCTACAATTTTTTCAATTTGCGGCAACCACTTTAAAAGTAAGGTTGAGAAGGCTGCTTGTTGAAATTCCTATTAATTCTTGCGACCTCAAACGTTTAAGGACGCCAATTATTGCTAGAACCGATGAGCAGAAATAGTATGGAAATTCGAGACACTGTTTATCATATCGCTTTTTTGCTTAAATGATATAAAACTTAAAAATTTGGAATTTTATCTGTGTTGTCTTTTACTGTGTCACATCTATCATTATTTCTAACTTCTGCTAGTTCAGAATATTCATTTCAATACTATTTTTGCGTTTTAATGTCATATTGTTGATGAAATGTTCCATGAAAACAATGATTTTGCAATTGATTGATAATGATAAGCTTAAATAGATGAAATCTGGTGATTTTGCTGGTAGATATAGAACTTAGATTTTATATTATACCTATAAATGAGTCTTTTTACTCATCTGCTATTTTATAATTCCTTATAATGTACAATATAATATTGTACTGATAACAATAACTATTTACAGTACATTATTTTAGTAATGTAGACTGTAGTACTTCAAAATGTGTTACTCATAAGCATTTTTTTCTGGAATGTGATACGAAAAGTTTGCTTATGCTTTGAGATTTCTCGAGATATTGGGAACAAAATAGTAATAGAAAGAGTTTCTGTTATGCGCAACCCTTGAACGGTTTAGCAAAATATATTGGCGATAATTAAATCATTTAAAATTTTTCTGTTTTGTTGATTGAGATATTTTGATTTACAAAAATTTCAAATTACAAATATGAATTTTTTGAAACTGAAAATCTATTGGAAGTTCTCATAATTCCTGAAACTATACAAAAGGTTAAACTGTTCCCAAAAAGGAATACTTTCACTTATCCAATAAACGAAAGTCAATTAAAAGAATAAAAAAGTTCGGCGTTAAATTGAACTGATTGATATGTAACGTTGATTTTTTGCTGACTTTGAAAAACTTTCATCATACTGCTCATGTTTATAAATAAAAATTATAAATTGAAAGAGGAGCTATTTCGAGGAGGAATTAAAAGAATAGCTGACATCTTCGAACATTGAATTGAGGTAATAATGTGCCACCAATTAAGTATATTTTATGCTATTCATTTTTAAATATTCATTTTAGAGCTCAAATTTCATTTTTTCTTTGATTTGAAAAGAAAAAAATGCAAATTGCAATTGCACAATAGTTTATTGCAATTCAAGATAATCATTGAGGAACTATTATAAAAAGTTCGACACAAGGACGAAATATTTCTCCCGATTTCAATTAAGCTTTATTGAATAATTAATGAATTCTGATTAGAGCTTGGATTAATTGTTTAATTAAATATGTGCTAGAATTTGCAGTTAGAAGTAATATTGTGACATTAATAACATTCAGAAAGTAGAAAAAACTACACTACAATTATGTGGCCGTTGACTTTTATTGTTTACTAATCCAATTGGATATTAATTGGAGTTTAGATGGGTATTGATTTTTTGTCTCAAGAATTTGGATGCGATTGATTTAGGATCGCATTTCATTCAAGTATATGTGGTCGCATTTAATATGACAATTCCACATTGGATTTTGAATGGAATTGAAATGGAATGTGAAAAACCAGTGAAGATCAGCATTTACAAGTAATTGACAACTACCCTTTCCCTTTTTTTTGTCAAATTAAGATAATAAATTGGGGCAGATAATTAAATGAATAAATATCACAGTAATGAGTTCGTTAATTATTATGGTTATTCGAATAGCTTTGTTGAGACTTGCTGTTGCCAAATCACGATTGCAACGATCACCAATACATGCACAGTATAACTCTTCTCCTTCATTACTCATCCATTTATGCGAACAACCAAGTTGAATCTGAATAAAAATAAAAAATGAAATTTCTTATTACTGAGAATATTATCGAAATTTTGATAATATTGTAAAAACGTGAATAAATTCTGAACTTTTGGATTAGTTAACATTTGAAATCTTCAAAGTAAGAGGTAATATAATCAATAAACATTCTGCGAACTTTACTCGTTTCCAAGCAACTGCTTTACATTTCTTTTAAAAAGTAAGTAAAAAGATGAGCTGTAAATAATACACTTCACAGTTTTACTAAAGTAAATATCACACAAAAAAGTATTTCAATAAAAGTTTTAAGAAAAATAAAATTCAAACATGGTGATTATCGGTAACATTAATGCATCCTTGACGTTCATTTAAGATCGATTTTTGCTGTCGATATTGTTTGGTGCCGAGAAATAATCTTTGTGTTGCAAAAGTACAGTAATGTCCCATACATTGATTTTGCTTGCATGATGCAGTCATTCTAATATCTTGCGTGCTTAATTCACAATTAACACATCTATGCAACTCTGACGGGAAGTTACTTTCTCTGTAAACAAAACAAATTATTGTTTAATAAAAAAATATTAAAATTACTTTTTAATTAAAAATGCTAAAATTAGCATGACAATGTTCAAGTAGCTATGTAAAGTGCAATGACGTCATACCTTTGACGTCTTTCAATTCTTTGAAAGTTATCTGAAATATGAAATTTAATTAGCTGATTATTCAATGTTTACTTTGGATTTACAAAGAGAGATCGTATTCGACTAGCTCCTTCCAGATGATTCCATGGCGTTGAACGTTTATATGCAACATTGCAATTATTTGTGTTGCATATGCAATGCTTTCTTGGAGAACTGGAACCTCTAAAATTAATGATTTTTCAACAAAAAAAAAGAAAAGAAAATATGATAATTAATAAAGGTGAAATGATTTCGATTGATATGAATGATAAGAATAAAGCTTCAATCTATGCTAGCTTACACCATTTCCTTTTCAATGTCAATGCACTTAAAGAGCACTAATTTTTGATTATCGATGAACGAAGAATTTATGATAAGTTGACCAAGATGGAAAATATATCGTAGTGCTTATGCATTATAAAATTAGTTAGGAATTTCAATAATTGCTTTATTAATTATTCATGAATTTGATTGTATCACTACAAAAAATATTGATATCAATCATTAAAAACATTCTGTCTTACATTATTAAACGGGAAAAATTTTATAAAGTTTAGAATTCAGAGAGTTTATAAATTGTTAAAATAACTTTCAGTAAAATTTCAAATATACGAAATTATTAGATTCAGATGAGGTCGCTGACTTGAAATAAGTACATTTTTCGAAAGGAAAACATATTAATTAGTTATGGACGAGATAGTAATTACTAGTTATTAAATTTTAACTTCATTCCTAACAAAAATTTTGAAAGAAAAAATTTTTTGCTTTATTTTGATTATATTGCGTCGAAAAATGTTGCATCAATACTTTCACAGGAAACTTTTTTTTTAACAATTTATAATTGCAATAATGATAGATAAGTAAAAAAATGTTAAATAGCTGTATGAATAAGCAAAACAGTATGTAAATTAGCAAACAATTTATTCATACGATGAGAACAAATCGTTGCGAAGAAAAATTTTACCTGCTAACGGTAACACACATCCGTGTACGGTAGTACAACAATTCCGGTCCCTTATAGAAGTATGGCAGTGAGGGAGGTCCATAGCCGCATCCGGCAGCTCCTACAACGACATTGCCGGAAATTTTTTTCAGACTTTTTCTTGCTCACTATATTATACACACCATCTAATGGATGGATCCATAATTTTGAAGGAATTTTTATATAATAATATGAGATAACTTCTTATTTAACGCGAATTTTCATTTTTTTTTTTAGAAACTTTTTAAATTTTACCATACCTGTTGTAGAATCCTCATGACACCACTGTCCCCGGCATATTTCACCACAGTCCGGCTCTCGATCTGAACAATTTCGACATGTAATAGTTTGCCGATGCATCGGCCTTATATAAATCATATCGTTGCAAAATTCACCTATAAAACTTCAAGCCTTATCAATACTATTTTTTTTGCCTTTTTTCTCTTATAAAAATGAAAGATTTGTAAAATTCCCCTACATCGTGAACAATTGATTTTGCAATATCTTAAATGCATATTTATTGCATTCATATTAAAATTTGGATATTTTTGATTTCTTTTTAAATAAAAGTTAACTCTATCAGCTTTCTCTCGATCTTATGGTTTAAACTGGTACTTATAAATTAACATGAAAAGAATCTATTAAAAATGATATTTTTAGCGAAACATTGCACATAGCTTTTTATCTTCCCTCTCAAATTAGCTTTTTCCTCTAAAGTTTCATCACTCCACCGGAATCTTTTTATTCGGTTGACAAAAGAAAAACAAAGAACAAAGCCAGCCAAAATATTGGCTATAGTTTCGATTTCCGTTTTTTCTTTTCTTTTTTCCTCTTTTTTGATCAATTTTTGAACTTTTCAGTATATCTCAAAACTTTAATGGTAAAATGTCACCAATGAAGTTTCAACAAATATTAAAGCCATTCTTTGTTAGCCTTTTTTTTTCTATAAAAAACATTTATATGAATGTAACATTTTCTCAGATTCTTTCGCATTTTTCTCACTCAAATATCCATTGCTTAATTGGAAAAGAAAAATTCGTTGAAGATATATTAGTGAAATAAAAATTTAAACAAAATTTTTGTTTTTTGCAAAAAATGAAAATGCACGAATTTTGTGATTACCTCTACAAATGCATAAAATGTGATTTTGAAAACGATCATAGTCGCAACCCATATGGGTACGAGGTGGCCTTTTGATACATCCTTTGGTGATCCGATAGTAATCTCTCTCATCGGTTGGCCTACGTTCAATGAAACAATAATCTGACTCGCAAGAACCCATCTAAGAGATCAAAAAATTGAAATTTGTCTGATTTAAATTTTCACTGTTTAAATAATCTCATTAGATAAACTATAATTTGTAATAAATTTAATGCTTTATCAATTTTTGCTTGTTTTTCATTTTAATTTGAAAGTAATTTTATTGTTGTACAAATATTAGCATCGGTATAAAAATCATAAAATTTATGGAGTACTTTGAATAAAAGCATCTTCCAAAGTTTTAAATATATACATTCAACTTTAAGTGGAACAACATATGATTTACAAAGTATGCTTTCTATCATTTCGATTTAAATTTCGATACACGAATACTGACCTGACAGTTACACGGTTCACTATAACATGTTCCAGCACATGAATAGCAACGCGAATTAACTTGATGAGTTATAAATATTGTAGGTGCCAACATGATATGCGACAAATATGTTATTAACATTTCAAATCGAAAATTTGCATTCTAAAATTAAAAAATTTGAAAATAAAAAGTGATAGGAGAAGAAATGGTTCAATTTAGCACCGGAAGAAATTACACAAATTTAAGAAATCATTGAGATTGCAGCAGTTGTAATAGAATGATTTGAAAAGTAATCATTGGAATGATGTGGCAGTTGTAATGAAATTTTTAAAAATCACTGAAAATTAAGGAGAAAAGATTTTCATTTCATCGTTATGCTTTCTCTTTCCCTCCTTCTCTTTCCGCCTCCCTCATCATTTCCTTTTGGTGCTATTTCGAAAAATAGTTTGCAATGATTAATTAATGGTATTCATTTGGACACAATTATGATGAATGTACTTTTTAGATTTCAAGTTTCAAAAGCACTGTGAAAATTGTAGGATTAAGTGAATGAATGAATGGATATCAGTATTTCATATACCTCGGGATAGTTTTTCAACTTTCAAATTATATACTATATCTTTTCAGTGTTAAAAAAAGAAAAAATTATTAATTTTGATTAGAATTGAAAGTAACAAATCATCAACAGGTACGAAGTGATAAGTCAGCTATTTTTCAAAGAGTTACCAATTGTTTCAATTATTGAGATGTTTTGTATTTTATGATTGTTGACATTTTTGAATGAAAAGACAAAAAAGTTCTAAATTTCAATTGAAATTTATTCCTTTTTTTGTTTGATTTCAATGTTGGCAAGCTAATTTCAATGAATTTTCAAAGATTCCAGAAAGAGAATGAGAATAATTAATTGGTTTTGTGAATATTCGAACAGTTCATAAATACTTTTTTTATAAGTATCTTTTTCTTTTTTCAAATTTTTTGATAATTTTTTACCCTATCCTATCTTACCTTCATTATGACCGGATCTAATAATTGATGCGACATGTACTGTTTATATAATTTTTGAAATAAAATTTATTTCGACAAGTCTATATTTTAAAGAATTCTTAGAACTTTAGTTGATTTAATTAATTCAGAATTTTGATAGGAGAAAAATTGCTAGCGGATTATGTGGTTGTTTAATTTGCTGGAGAGATATAATAATGTGAAACTAAAGAAAAATAGTTTGAAAATGAGTGAGTGAAATTGAAAATAAAAATTTATTTTTCACATTTCTCCCCAATTAAAAAGTGAAATAAAATCTGAGACTATAATTTGCACTGATTGCTTTGAAATCGTAGGATTCATTCCATTCCAATTTTTTAAACTGGAAAAGGCTAAAATAAAAGAAAGTTTGTACAAAATTATATGTAACAGCTATTAATAATTAATACTCCATCCTTATTTATGATTTCACAAAAATTTATTTACATTAAATTCTGATGAACATTTTGCTAATGATGAAATTAATGCAGTTAATGAAATTGATTGATAATTAATTGGAATTAAACTAAAAATTCCGAAACAAGAAATCAGTGAAAAAACTGCTGATCGCTATTTGAAAGAGTTTATTCCTTTTTTCTGGGAAATTAAATTTAAGCACCATATGGATAATAAAAAATATCAATGGATAGGCAAAGTTGATATAATAAATCAATTACTACTTAAATATCGAAATGTTATTCAATCGAAAAGACAACCATTAATGATTATCAAGAAAGTATTAATTAACACAAAAAAGGAATGACTTGGTGATAACTGATAATAACAGTTGATAACATTCAAGAAACCTATGTGCCAAACATGCAATATTATCATAATCTTTTATAAATTATAAGTTAATTAAAAAAATCTATTATTAATTAGGAATGTAATTGTTTATTGAATAATTTGAGTATTTGCTGAAAGATTTTATAATGCAAACTACTGTTTTGTGTAATTGCAATTATTCTAAATTAATCACACTAAATTGCAAATTATTATATTTAATGAATCAATATCGTTCCTATTTTTATTATCTTCACAGCTGACTACATTTATGGAAGTTCAAAAGTATTTTTGAATACAATATACAAATTGTAGCAATTGGAACAATAAATATAAATTAAAATAGCTCTAATAATTCGACTAAAGAAATATTATCACTTCTTATGGTCGTTTTCATTTGGAAATTTCGAGAAATTAATGTTTATGGAGTGGAAAGGATGTCTTTGGTTATCTGCTTAATGATGATGCTTACTTGATTACTATACTTTCCCTCTTCAATTCTTCTCCTTTCAGTCCTAACAACCCTAAATTAGTCCTTATCGCTATGATAGCATTCTTTCCTTTATCATACCGATCATTAGAATTTTTTGCGGAAATAACATCATTCGTAAAATTAAATCGGTGCTCAGACTTTAAAAAACAAAGAGATAATTTGCACATTTTTTTTTCCTTCTTTTTTTTATAAAGATTAATAAATTTCAGGAAATTTTGTAATTGTTACAATCTTTATGAAAGTTTTCTATATTTTCTCTCAAAACTGATACTTATTACAATTAACATTGATAATTAAAGAAGGTTTAAAATCCAAATATACAGCCCTAATTGTCCCTAAAGCTTCCTGATAGTTTCGGCAAAATTTTTACTATTAATTTATAGTTGCATCTAAAAAAGCAAGAGAAAACGTAAGACGAAATTTGCTTAAATATAATTTAAAAAAATAGCAAAAATGATATCAAGCAAGAATGAAATAGAAAATACGCATAGAAAGAAGATGAAGAGAAAAGGCCAAAATGCATTATCAAAGAAATCTACGAAATATGAAAAATGAAATTAGTGAGCCATAAACGACAGACTGGTAACAATAGCCAAGTGGATTGATAAACAGATGGATAAATATTCGTGTAATTTGCATCGTGGATTGCTTTTGCAATTGATATGTAATAAGAGATATTAATAACAATCTAAGCTATGATTCTAATTTCTTTGCATTCGTTTCAATTCCTCTTAATTCATTATATTCATTTCTAGTCTGACCTTTGATTTTGGTAACGAGAAAACAAATGATTTTATAATTCATAATATTTTATTGAAGTTTTCCTTTTTTTTTTCAGTTAATTTCAAAGTAGCGATCCACTGATGGAACTGAATTGATGAATAAACAGATCAAGCGAAAATCAATCCATAACAACAAATAATAAAAGTTTCTTTTTTTTTTCAAATTTACAAGAGTTGTAACTACGAAGACAATGATAGATAACTTGAATATATCAAGCAAAGCAATGCATATCTACCGTACGCCTGAAGTATAACTAATAGGCTTTCTTTTTCGACTTCAACAAATTTTAATTAAATTGAAATTTCTGGATATATTAAGAAAGACACAAACCGGGACAGATCTATAGGGTTAGCTATTATAAAGGAAGCATACATTTGAAATGATTGAAAAGGAATGAATATTGTTCTCATCAAATACCCCTTTTTAATGAATAACAATTTATCTTTCTTCATCTTTTCATTTCTCTTTTCTCCTTCGGAACATGAACCTTTCATTCAAACTTTCTGAGAGAAAAATTCGTTGTTTGTTAGATGTTAATCATAAAGTTTAGATTAGAATGAATACATTTTATCATTACTTCTCGTCTTGTGAAAAGCAACTTCTGCCTTTCCCTTTTTTTTTTCTTCCTTCTCACTTTAATTTTCAGTCAGCAATGAAATGATAACACTCAAATCCTTTTGTAATTCTTCTGTCCTTACATTTTACACTGATCACATGAAGAAAATTATTTGTTAGTGTATTACTTTCAGATTTACTAAAAGCTAAAATTAGCCATTGAATGGGAAAGTTAACAGTTGAATGCTGAATAGTCCTTTAAGTATGTCCTTTTACTAAGTGTGTCCTTTTTGAAATTGTTCAATATTTAGTTGAAAAAAACTAGAAAATTGCTTGGGAAATCTCGGGTTCTCTCACTCTGTGAGAAAGCTTATTTGTTAATTCTGTGCAAAACAGATTTCTTTTTTTCTATAAAGAAATTTTGAAACGGCGATTTGTATTTTTATGGACGAAAGATAATATTTCTCTGTTTACGAATTTGCATTTCTAAAACAACTTAACACATAAATTAATTTCAATTTTATTGGAAATTGCAGAAATTGAGAAATATCTCTTGATAGTTTAATGGAAATTATTTTAATTTAGATGAATAAAGAAAAGTATCTGAATTTCATAAGTATATGAAAATAAATAAGATGACCTGAACTAATGGAACAAAGTTATGGGAAGAAGCTTTAACAACAGATTCTTTTAGAATGAAATTAGCAAAAAAATAAAAGAATTGGCTTCATTAAATTCTTACAGTATAAGTGAAATAAGTGGGTAGTGAAGTAATTGCTTCTCCATCGATGGTTTAATTAGTGGTTGCGTTTGAACGGTTCGAAAGCGGACTGCTTCGTTTAGCCTTGTAACAGCCGAGTGCGGGAATTCTGGTATTTGTTACTCTGAAATAATTGTTAATACGCAAATAATGAATGAGTGACTTAATTACACTTAATAAGAGCAGATTAAAAAAACCAGCAGTATGACCCAAATTAAAGAGTGGACTTGCATAGTTATATACACTAATCAAACATAAGAAAGGTAATCAGTTCCCATGATAAGCCGAGAATTATTCCTGAATGCAGTTATTGATATGTTCATAGTAAGTGCTACTTCATGATTGACCAATTTGTGGCATGGATTACTCATAGCATCGATTTATCCAAAACTAACAGTGTATTATAACAATATTAAATTAGCTCTTTTTCCGATATTTAAATAATAAAATTACAGGATTTATTCAACAAGCAAATGATAAAAAAATAGTAATCAATAGGAAGCGTTTCTGATCAATCAACGAATAACAATTTTGAAAAGCTTAGATTAAAGAACAACTTGAAAAGATAAATTTATTTGGCCAGTTGCTAGATTAATTAATCAATTTGTTTACCAGAGATAAATGGAAGATTGCTAGCTTATGGTTAGCTCGGATTGATATTGATGGCAGGTTGTGATAGCAGTAGTGATAATGCTTTATAAATGTTGATGGAATCTCACTCTTCTT